GCTTACGCTTTAGTTGCAGAAAAGCGGCCTCGCAGGCGTCGCTCCAGAAGAATCGGGCCCCTTTCATCTTAAGCCGTTCGATTGGGGCCGAAATGGCTGCGTATCCCGGGATGTACCGCCTGAAGTAACTAGTCAAACCCAGGAACGCCCTCACAGTGTGCAAGTCGTGCGGTCTGAGCACGTTCATCACCGACTTGACCTTTTCGGGGTTGGGCAATATGCCAGACGGAGTGACGATGTGACCCAAAAACGCTACCTGGTCGCGCGCCCACTTGCACTTTTTCATCTTGAGCTTGAATCCCGCCGACCGGAACCGTTCCAAGACTTGTTTTAGTCGTACTAGGTGGGTAGGAAAGTCTTCACTGAAGACCACGCAGTCGTCGAGGTACACTAGACAAGTCCGCCACTTAAGGTCAACAAGCACAGTCTCCATAAGTCGTTCGAAGGCCGGTACGGCATTACACAGTCCGAACGGCATTACGAGCCACTCGAAGAGACCATATTTGCAGGTGAAGGCAGTCTTCTCCACGCTATCAGCAGCCATCGGAACATTCCAGTAGCCGGATGCGATGTCCATCGTGGAGAACAGCTTAGCGTTGCCGCGTACATCTAGAATGTCATCGATGAGCGGCATCGGGTAGCAGTCCTTGATAGACACAGCGTTCAGTCTTCGATAGTCGATGTAGAACCGTATCCCGCCGTCAGGTTTGCGGATCATAAGCACCGGGCTCGCCCAAGGGCTAGAAGAGGGTCGTATGAGTTCTTGCCTTAAGTATTCTTGTATCTCGGATTCCATCACGTCTCCTTCCGCCTTGGACACTCGGTAAGGGGGTTGCTTTATAGGCGAGAGCTCTCCAGTATAAATAGAAAACTCGAGCAGGTTCGTCCGTCCGGGGCGCATCGAGGTTTCGACGAACATGTCCTTGAACGGTTGGAGGAACTCCGTGAATATTCTCTTCTGTTCGCTCCCCAATTTAGACTCGTCCAGGTCGACGTAGAGCTCCTCCTTGAGTACTTTGTCCACCCCTGGTATGGATTCTTGAGCGACTTCGGTCGTCGAATTAGAGGCGCTAATGACCGAGTGGATCCACAGGTCTTGAGCTCTTTGGTCCCTAGTCTGGGCCTCGCCGGGCAGGGCGGTTCCGTGCTTTACACTCGCAGCGGTTCCTTGCTGAAGCGCCGACGCTGGGATTATCGTAACACTCGCCAATCGGGTGCTTCTCTTGACGACGGGGTCTCGAAAGAGGGTGCATACTATCACGATCACTAGGTCGTT